TTGAAGGTAGTGTACACGTCCGGGAAAGTGAGTCAGAGTTTGGCTCGTATGGACAATCTCACTGATTACGACGGATACGTGGAAAACACATGCTTAGACGCATTTTCCACAACGTGCAACACTCACACTGCATAAGAAAACATTGTCAGCATTATGTAGTGCACATGCCCCGACTATATGTCTAAAATGCTAACGAAGCACTGTTCGCTTCGCTCTGTTTGTCTTTGGAATGCACTGCGTGCAAAGGAACACAGAGTAACAGGGTGCAGGTAAGAGAAGGGGATCAACGATGGTAGAGTCGCACAACAGTAGTAATTGGTCGGCCGCTGCGAAGGGGCCATACCAGCGCACCGAAACGGGTAATGGTGCCAGGGAGGGAAAACCGTTGTTACCATCGAGCAGCCAGAGGTCAGCACAGAGCTGGCAGGACATGTTATCAGACCCATGGTGCGCGAAAATGTACGATTTACTGACTGAGGGTGCAGCAGAGTGGCCCCAGTCCTGCGGGGAACAGTCTTCCTGTTGTATGGAAAAACGGAAAGCAGGGGACAAGACAAGAGCGAAAGATGAGCAGACCGACATCACCGACGTGGTCGAATTGTTCCCTTTTACATGGAAATCTCCGCAACACGCCATACCCGTATCAAAATCCGACATTGAACGGTTGTCGGACGACGGATGACTGAATGACAATATTATTGACATTTATTTGCAGTTTGTGTATGAAGAGGTTGGGCGGGGCCAGGACAGGTCTTATGTTCACATCTGCAAAACTTTCTGGCACCCCGAGGTCGTCGCCAATAAAAAATTTGGAAAATTGACGAAAAAAGGATGGGAGGACGCAATTAAGAAGAGACCACAGAAATTGCATCGACTGTGTAACGAACTGCGACGCGCGCCGGTCACTGTGATACCAGTGAACCGTAACAAACACTGGATTCTTCTTCTGTTGCTGAATGCGAGGTCCTTCTTGGAGGTCACTGCGGACAGCCGCATATCCGACCCTCCCATTGCTATCGTCGTTGACTCAATGAGAGAAAAAAAACAAGACGAATGGACGGCGTTGCGAACACTTTTGTGGCACGAGTACCTTCACGAGGCAACGAATTTGCAGGCTTTGACACCCGAAAAGGTTCATTTTTCGTGGGTGACATGCAGGGATCTGGCAGGAAGTAAGCTTGTGCATGCGGAATGCCCGCAACAGAACAATTACACGGACTGTGGTGTTTATGTGTGTTGTATCGCTACCACCGTAATACAATTTCTTCGAAGAACCGCGACAAAGGATCTGACGGTCAAGGACGTACTGGAAGTTATCAAAACTACAACGGTGAACGAAAGAACTGTTCGACAATTTCGCGAGTCGATGGTGGACCGGCTTGCTGCCTGTGCTGCAGTCACAAAAGGCAATGACACATTAGCGGCTTCACAAGTAGCCACAGCGTTGCAAAGCATAATAAACAGAAGAGAGAGCAACACTTCCATGGAATGAGATGTTGTCCAGGTCACCGAACGCGATGCGAGGAAAGTTGACTACTGCGGGCCAAAATGACATGAAATGTGCGATGTGCGGACATGATTGGCCCGCAGTAGCCAACCTTATCGCAATGATGGACGAGGCAACTATTTCCGATGGTTTTTTTTCTAGAATTTTTTTTTTTCCCCAGATTATGCGATCTCATGCCACCTTACAATACAAATGCAGTCACTCTGACGCACAAAGAGGTTGCTCACTTGCATGACTTCGCAATTTCAAATCTCTCTCTCTCTCTCTCTCTCTCTCTCTCTCTCTCTCTCTCTCTCTCTCTCTCTCTCTCT